TGCACGTGCAGACCCCGCCGCAGCACCGGGCGCTGCCAGCTTCTGTGCGGACGGTGGGCTCCCCGAGACCCCGCAGGTGAAAGCCGACCTTAGGCCTCACACAGACAGTGCAGCTGGACTCTCACAGAGGGAAGCCAGCGGCGGAAACTGGCGTTGATGGGGGGCTTAGCAGGGGCGGTGAAGACGGGGCCCACTTCCACCCGCACTGGCCGGGCTCAGTCCTCCTCGCAGCCCAGCCTTTCCTGCTCAAGGAGAAATGGCTCCTCCCTGAGGTCGGCTCAAAGGGCTGTTCTGGGACGCCTTCCTCACATGCCATTTCAGAATCATAGGCTCGCCCTGGCTGGTGTGGCTCAGTGGGTAGAGCATCGGCCTGCGGACTGAAGGGTCCCAGGTTCGATTCCAGTCAAGGGCACGTGTGGGGGTTGCGGGCTAGGTCCCCAGCAGGGGGCGTGCACGAGGCAGCCGATCAATGATTTCCTCTCATCACTGATGTTTCTATCTCTCTCTCCCTCTCCCTTCCTCTTTGACACACACACACACACACACACACACACACACACACACACACATAAAGAATTCTTAGGCCCTGGTACTTGTCAGCTCTGAGCAGCTGTGCAGGAGTCAACTGGACACCTGCGCCTCAGCCTGACTTACCCCCGGGGTCTCTTCCCAACGCTCCGCAGCGGCCTCCTTCCCTCACTCCTTTCCCCAAGCTGCTCTTGACAAATGGTGACCATGACCGAGCCCTCGGAGGCTGGGTTGGGAAATTTAATAGAGTTTTAAATTGGGAACCAAGTTCCATTAAAAGCATTATCGAGCCGTGTTGAAGGCCCAGCACTGGCAGCGACAGGAATCTGAGTGGCTCATGCGCTGGGTTTGTTGGTGCAGGAGTTGAGGTCGACCGGAATCCATCCTGTGCTCCAGGTGAGGGAGGGTGTGAGGCGTGAGGGGGCGGGGGGTGTGGGTCTCTGGGGTCTCTGGGTAGAGGCCTGCAGTAAACTGTGGCATGTCTTGGTTATAGGTGGGTTGTGAACGAGCCATGCTTCTGTCCAGGCCCTCCTAGGTGTGTGTCCAGCTCTCATCACCTTTGCTCAGGATGAGAGTTCAAGGCACAGCCTCCACCTCCTGCCTCAGTCTTGCCCTGGGGCTCTGGTTCTGCATTTCCAGCAGCGAGGCATTTCTTCCCATTCCTGTCGGAATCTCAGTCAACAGAAAGGCAGGTGGGGTGGTGTGTACGCACCGCTTCTCAAACCTCCCGTGCACAGGAACCACCCGAAGGTCTTCTTACAGTCAAGACGTCTGCTCCTTGGGTCTTGGCCTGCGTCCAGCCTGAATCTGACTTTCCCAGGAGACTCTGCTGCTGGTTGAGGATACATCTGAGTAGCAAGAATACAGTGGGGCCTTGACTTACGAGTTTAATTTGTTCTGTGACGGAGCTTGTAACTCAAATTACTCGTATGTCAAATCAATTGTGAACGAGTGAGACACGGGATGCTGGGCTGATGTTGTGGCGTTCACTGTGACGTTCACTGCGCCAACTAGCGGTGGGGTATCTGAAGCTGGCTCGTAACCCGAATTTTAGCTCGCAACTCAAAGCAAAAAATCGGCCGAGAGACGGCTCCTATCTCGAAAAACTCGTTAGTCGGAACACTTGTAAGTCAAGGCCCCACTGTACTGACCTGGAGCCAGACCGTGTTGAATCTTGTAAACATTGCCTTGGACATAGAGAGTGCTGAGCACATGCTGGATTCTGCTGTTAGTAGCAATAGTACGTTACATGGCTGCAGCTATGACTGCATACATTACACATGTGAATCTGAATTGTACTTCTCTCGAAACCTACCTGTGACTTCCAATCATCGTTAATGCAACCTCCCAGCCACTAAGGTTCTCTTTCAGATGCACAGCTGTTAACTGCTTGGTGTTCATCTTCTCAAACCCAAATGCTTTCCACAGCCTCCCTCCTCTCTGTTACCAGGCTCAGGCTGGAGTTGCCCTATTCCCGTGTAATTGCATCGACCATGCTTTTTATTTTCTGTATTTTGATGCTTTGATATATGGGGACCACCCCTTCCAGAGTTAGCTAATTCCTGAAGTTGGCAAAAAACTATCCGGGGTGTGCACCTTCCAGATGCAGACTGACCAGTGTGAGCCTTCCTTCCTGGGCACTCACAGCCCCTTCACTCTTTGCCTGCCTTCCTCACCCCAGGGCGGGGCCAGACTATTAGAGGCAGCTCTCACTCCCCAGAGCCACAATATCACCTGACTCCTAACCCCACTTACCTGCTCCCACCCTGGCCCTGCCTCCTGCGGCCACCTGTGTGACCCGTCCTCTGGGATCTGTTTGTAAAACGATGTTTTGATGCCAATTGCATCCTGGTCTGTTGGCCTCACCTTACCTAAGTAATAATAAAACCTACATTTCAAAAAGTACCACCCCTCCAATTTATGTTATATTTTGGTTAACCTTTCTTTCTTTCTTCCTTTCTTTCTTTTTTTGGTAATTCAATTCTTTTTTTTTT